AAAAACTAGAAGCCACCCTGATGCCCACCAGCTGTTGAATTTTATATAAATGAAACGTGATACATCAGTACAGGGAAATAGTATTCCTCTACAACAGAGAACAAAACGCTGACACACGTTAGGACGTGGATGAGACCTGAAAATACTGCATTAAGCAAAAGAAGCCAATTACAAAGGACCATGGACCCTCCGACTCTGCTTATATGAAATGAACAGGACAGGGAAGCTGATGGAGAAAGGAAACAGGCTAGCGGCTTCCAGGGGCTGGGACAAGCGGGATGGGCAGTGGCTGCTGACCGGTTTCCTTGGGGTGCTGAAAATGTTCTGGGATAGGTTAGCGCTGATGGCTGCATAACCTTGGAAATATTCTGAAAACTACCAAAGTGTACCCTTTGAGGGGTTGCCATTACAGAATGCAAATTGTTTCTGGTTAAATTTCTTTAAATTAAATCACGTGTACATGTTAGATATGCATAACCATCATATTCGTCAGAGGGAACGTGTACCTGATACACTTCGATTCCTGTTTCTTTCCCAATCCCCTCGCCTCCCTTCAACCCATCTTCCACTCCCTATTTACAAAGCTTTGTTTTCATTGTATTCTCTTTGTTACCCTTTTTTTCTTTTCCTTCTCTTCCTTTCCTTCTTCCCCCTCCCCAGTTCCTCTCTCCTCTTGAATGATTTCTTCCCATTTCACAATATCTTTTTGCCCTTAATCTACTCAGTTTCTAACACCAGGGAGACAATTCTGTTTACACACGTGATTCCAATTTGTTTTACTTAAGAGTATAATTTTAATTGCATCCATTTACCTACAAATATCTCACGTTTATCCTACTTTATGACAGAGCAGTATTCCATTGTATGAAAAAACCACAACTACTTTTATAAAAGAAAATACCTCTTCCCCCAGTCCCAGTAAAGGTGAAGCCGCAAGAACCTGCGCTATAATTTGCCCTCCAGGTGGCGCTGGAGTGCACAACAGCGTCAGCAGCTGCCTAGGTCGGACCTGGCTGGACTGTCCAGAGCAGGGGCGATTTTAAGAAGCATCTACTTCCTCGGGTCAGCACTCAGAGAGTCTGATTCACCAGACCAGGAAATCAGTAGTGTTCTGAATGCTACTTGCACAAGCCCCCCACCACTGAGAAGAATCATTTCCTTGCCTTTTGTAGCTTCAAGAAGCCAGTGTTTGCCTTGGCTCGGGGACCCCTCCATTTTCACAGCCACCACAGGTGAGTTTCACCTCCTAACTCTGACTTTCTCCTGGCCTCTGTCCACTTTTAGAGGACCCTCTTATAACTCCATGGGACCCACCCAGATAATCCAAGGCCATTTTTAAAATCGCTTGATTTGCAATCTTAATCCCAACTGCACCCTTCGCTCCTCTTTGCGATGTGACCTAATGTGTTCACAGGTTGTGGGGTTTGGGACATGGGCATCTTTGGGAGACATCATTCTGCCTGCCACATATCAATTTCACGTGGCTGGACTCTTGATGATATAAATTTAATTTCTGACTCTAAAGTCTGTTGTAGTATTTTATAATGTGCGTTAACCGTTTTCTTTTTTTAACATAGAATTTTACTCCATGGTATTGGAACTAACTATAACAAGCCAAATAAGACTAGAACAGTGTCGTTTATATTTCAGTATGGAGAAAGAATATACATTTAAGAGTGTGCACATAAGCACAGTGCAAAGGATTCCTTTCTACTACAGAAATTGAGAGCCAAGCATGGTGGAACACACCTATAATCACTAGGCAGGCTGAGGCAGGAGGAGTTTGAGGAGTTCAAGGCCAGCCTGAATGGCATAGTGAGACTCTGTCTTGAGAAATGGAGACATGTCTGGGTCACTTGAATGTTACTTGTGCTTTTGTCCAGTCGTGAGACTTGTACTGGTTTTCTCAGGCTACAGGAACAGTACCACAGAGCAGGTCGCTCAAACAGCAGACAGTAATTTTCCTGTCTGCAATTCAGGGCATGGCAGGGTTGGTTCCATCCTACAGTCATGAAGGAAATGTGTGTTCTTGGCCTTGCCTTTGGCTGGTAGATGCTGCTTCTCCCTGTGTCACTACCATGTCCAAATCTCCTCATAATGACTCTAGTCATGGTACATTAGGACCCACTCTAATGACTTCACTTTAATTTAATTATTATGTAAAGGTCTGGTCCAAACACAGATATATTCTAAAGTAGGAGGATTCAGGTTTCAACACATGAATATGTGTGTGTGTGCATGCACACTAGGGACTGAACTAGGTTCCAAACCTTTCTTCTGTTTTTTATTTTTAGGGCAGGGTCTCACTAAGTCACTAAATTGCCCAGGCTGGACTTCAACTCCTAATCCTCTTCCCAGCCTCCAGAGCTCCAGGATTACAGTTTGCACTGCCTCACCTGGCTCACACAGGAATTTTCTGAGGGAGACATAATTCAAGACATGATATCATGGGATGATTGTGTTATCCCATAAAAGGTGACCCTGTGGCCAGCTGAATCTCACATGCTGCCCCCAAGCATCTTCCAGGAAAGATTCGGACACACATCTGGTCACAGGTCCAGAGTCCAAAGAGTGTAGTTTGGCCATAGTGACTGTCACTGATGCTGGCTGCCACAGTGACAGCAGCAAACCATGGATTTGCAATATCTGGTCGACTCAGTTGCCCAAAGGCAACGAGAGATTCTTTTTCTGAGCACAGAATGGATCGCTGTGCGGGAGCCATGTTGGTGCAGGGGTAGGGAACCCTCAGCTTCACCGCAGCACAGGGTGTGTCCCTTCCTCTTCTGCTGGAAGTCAGAGGAAGTCACAAACAGCATTATCTGTACCCAGTGATCTCAGGGTGAGTGGTGGCTAAGGGCTTGTGAGATCACCAGAGAAACCGCCTAAGGGATCCAAGTCACTCATGACCCATTAATATCAACTGCCGATTGCTAGGCATAGTGACACACACGTGTAATCCCAGCACGAGGGAAACTGAGACAGTAAGATCATTGTGAGTTCCAGGCCAGCCTGGGCTACGCAGCAGACTATCTCAAAAACAAAACAAACAACAAACATGAATTGTCCATCCGGAAAAGACGGATTTTCTTAGAAAATGCAATCAGTGGAGAAGCCATTACATTGTTTTGGTTGTACACTATTGTATATCGTGTGAATTCATTTAACAATGGTATGTTAGACATTGTGCATAATAAGGAATTAGAAAATTTGTGGGTTGGTATTTTAACAGTAGTTTATTTATTCATATGTTTTACAGTGCCTCAGTTCATATCTTTCTTTCTTTCTTTCTTTTTCTTTCTTTTTTTTGGTACTGGGATGGAACTCACGAACTTGCGCTTGTCAGGCAGGCCCTGTGCCGCTGAGCTATGTCCCCGGCTTCATACACTTCTTGTGTGCTCAAGAGAATGAGCACCTTCAGGGAGCTTCTTCTCCTTTGTCAGAGAGGGCCGAGGTTCTGATTATTTTGTGCTCCTTAAACTCTGGCTCTGCTACTGGCGGGTCACCTTGAAAGGTCACTTTGGTGTCCCTGGGCCTGGCACAGTCAGAATCGTTCTCTTGTGTCCCAGCCTCACATCACGCGATCCGGAACTCTCAAGAGCAGTGGCAGGAAGCCAGCTCGGTCACACTCTGCACTTGTCAGAGAAGACCGCCTTTCGTGCTGAAGACAAGGTGCAGAGCACATCCAGGGTGGGTGAGGCTTGGCTTGTAGAGTCCCTGGGCGTCTGCTGACGTGAGTCTTAAAGCATCCAGAATCTCCAGGGAACCAACTCCTGCTACTGACTGAGGCCACACCCCCAGCACCTCCTTTATGCATCGCTTTTGGGACAGTGTCAGCCATCTACACCACCTCAGCCTGAATGGTCGATGCGAGTAGAAATGTGTTACAGAGAGAATGCACTAATCATAGATTCCTTCTCAGAAATGACTACATGAGGTCAGGCATGGCGGCATACATCCTGTAATCCCAGCACTCGGGAGGCTGAGGCAGGAGGATCACTGCTGTGAGTTCAAGGCCAGCCTGGTCTGCATAGTGAAATCCTGTCTCAAAAAGGTAAAAAATAAATAAATAAATAGAAAGAAAGAAAGAAACGATTGCACAGGGCTGGCTCACAGCTGCGATCACTATGTGATTCTGGTGATAACAGGAGCACTGTGAGGTACTCTGGGATCTCTAGCCCGTTTTCGCAGGGTTAGCCCTGGGTGACCCTCTTACAGGGAGGCCTTGTCATTTTCCATGGCAGTCAGAGCAGATCTGCAGACAGCAGATCTTCTAAACCCATCTAATTAATGCAGCCCCATACTGACCTCTCCTGGCCCTGTTCTCCCTCGCACATTTAACTACTGTTTTCCATGATGTTGATATTCTTCCAAATCTGTATTTCTCTATGTTTGCATCAACTTAGGTATGTAAGTAGATACGTGTCCATGTGAATGTAAGCGTCAATACACTTACACATTATATAGAGATGCGTAAGTTTGATATACTAATGGTATATAATATAATGCAATCATATAACATTATGAAATAAAATTATAGTATACATTATGTATTATGGGTATTAGGTATTATGCCTTATATAATGTATTATGTTATACATTCTATATTAGTATTATGTAAATATTTAAATTGGCTTAACATTATGTACATAACATTTATTGATAGATGCATGTGTGTCTGTGTACATCAAACATTTTACCTGCCATGCAGCAGCTTGCTTTTTTTCCCTTAGCGTCTTGTCTTGCAGATTTGTATATTTATTGGTAAATTTTCTCTTATTTTTAATTGCTTTGTAGTGAACTAATGTAGCATTTTACTCACTTCCCTATTGCCTTTTACCTAGACAGTTCCCAGCTCTCTGATACACAAGAGTGCTGCGTGTGACCTTGCTTTTGCTAGTCTGTCTCTAATAAGTAACAGTATTCCCTGTGATAGATTCCAAAAGGAACAAACATTGACAAAAAGGATATTTCATTTTGATTTTAATGAGTACTGACAAGTTCTGTTTCTGTTATGTTACCACCAATAGGATATGAGAGATATGTCTTCACAATTTCCCAACATTTGACAAAGCCAGTCTGTTTAATATTTTTCAATCTGATAGCCAAAAATGGAATATTACTCTTGCTTTAATTTATATTTCTCTTACCCAATTTACGTATCTACTAATATAACACAGAAATATCATGTTACGTTTAAACATGCCTTACAGAAGCATTCAGTAAGAAAAGAGATGTATTTTAACTTTTTAGAGCATATTTGATCAATAAAATGGGGAAATATTGTCTTTGATACAGATTTAGAAGACAGAAAGGAGGAAATATTTGCTGACGTGACTTATTTTAAAAATCACACAAGTATTTATTGACATTATGATGTTGAGCTATTACCGTTTTAGGTATATTTATTGAGAATGAGATGAAACCCAGTCATTTCTCCTCAGGAGACAACTCTAATCTGTTCACTGTCTTCCTGTTCACAAGTATGGAACAACATAGCAGCACAGCAAGGGCTGCATGTGACAGTTTGGGTGTGATCTTGCTGGAGGTGATGGCTCATCTCTGTAATCTCAGCACTTGGGAGGCTGAGGCAGGAGGGTCACCATAAGGCCAGCCTGGGCTACACAGCCTGTCTCAAAAAGAAACAGCTCTTATTAGACTTAAACTTTAAGACTTATAAATAAGATCACAGCAAAACAATGTGTCTTATAACTACTGAAATAATTTATTATAACATTTTCTAAAATTATTTAATTTTTAAAAAATGAATAACATGTGTTTGAGAGCAAAAATTCAGGCACATGACTCCCTTGAAGCTAGCAGGCTAGGGAGCAGACAGTGTACTGAACACCCACAATGTGCCAGCCAATTAGGCACAGGGCATAAAGATAAGAGAAGCAGTCCTTCAGGATGGGAAAGACACACAATTTTAATATTACACTCAGGGCCAACACACCTAAAAGCCTAAGTCCATTTCTGTGTCCTGCTAGGCTTTCCCTATGCCCCAAGATCTGGGAGCCTGAAGCCTACATTTCCATTCTCTCTTGTTGGCAGCATTATAGGTCAGGCCCGGGCACTGAAAGGCACTCACATGAGGCTTACGAGGTAGGAGACAAGGGGGCCATTATTGCCCACCTGCAGGGGCCAGCTAGGCCTCTGAGGGATGGCCGATAATGAATATTTGTCAGCCATCTCCAGGAGTCCTTCTGCAGATCACCCACTCTGGTGCCCTGGGTGCCTGAGATCACCTGTAGCGACTGCCCATGATTCCTGAATTCCTGAGTTCCTAAAACCTGGAAATGGTTGGAACCAGCTAATGCATCAGGTCTGTAATTTGTTTCATTAATCCTCTTGCCCACAGTCCCTTGTCCCTTTGACTGCCCCTTGTCCCCTAGTGCTTGGAGGAAAGCAAAGATTTGTCCTTGGTAGTCTGCCACAGGCCCTGAGCACCCCTGAGCTCATCTTGTCAGATGTGCCAAGGATGCCAAGCCCTTGTAACTTTTACAAGGATGCCACTTCTCAAGGATGGGTTTGCAGCAGTCAGCTTGAGAAATGAGATCTCCATTCAGGACACAGGGTAGGTGGTGGTGGTGGTGCTATTTTTACTGTTTGCTATGAAACACCTGGTTCTCCAATCTGAATATTCCTTAACTGATATAAACCTGCTAAATTTGTCTGTGCCCTCTGCCACACCCCAAGACACACAGAAACAGTGGTGCTGCATTCCTCAAGCTGCCTCTTGTGAGAGCAGAAGTCTTTTTGTCTCTGATCCAAGAGTTATGCCTGCTGCTATAGTAACAGGTTAGCTTTTAGCTTTGAAAGTAAGGTGAAACCAAATTCCATCCTCAATAGTTCTTACCAGAATTGATACCAGCCAGTTCCAGATATGCATTTGCCTCCTCTGTTTGCAGCACCTTTTCCTGCACCGTGAACCGAGGCCTATTAGGGGGCCTCAACTGTTGACTGTGTACCCTGCACAACATCGCCAAGGAAGGCATGGACAAGAAACTCGTGCCTGCAGCATTCATTGTTTTTCTTGTGTGTCCATCATTTAGAGGCATTTAGGTAACAAATGAAGGTCTCTTAAAGATTCCTGTAAGGAGCCAGGTCAGAGTCAAAACCACCTGCCCCTAGAACATGGTAGACACATTGATCCAAGGACTTAGATAGAGCCTTAAATGCCCCAAAGCTAACTTAGAAAGTGGAATTGGACTCTCTCCCAGTATCCCATGGTGAATCTGGATTTCTCTTTCATGCAGTTTTCAGCTCTGCTCAGTTACAGTCTCAGTTCTTTGGAAAGAAACCTTCATCCAGGGGACACAGCAATGGTTCCATTGCTCTTGGAGCTATAGCTACTGTCTGGTCCTGCAGCAGTGGGAAGGCAGACAGAGAAGGAGTCACACTACCATGGAAGTAACTGTATAACATGAAATTTTAAGGGTTTTCCCTATACAATAGGGCAGGGAACAACATGCTGAGAATTCAAGAACTCCACTAGGGCATCTCTTGGCGATTCCACACCCAGGGAGAACTCTACATGGGCAGCTGCATCTCTCCTAGCTCAGGCAAGGCAATCTGTGGCCTCGGATACCTGGGGAGGTAAAACTCCAAGCCAATCACCAGGAAGGTCATCCAGGCTGGTTTGACAATGACTAAGTAAAAGGGGGCTCCAGGGTAATCAGGAAGATGATGAAGATCACTCATGACCACAGAACCAGCTAACGCATCAGGTCTGTAGTTTGTTTCATTAATCCTCTTGCCCATAGTCTTTTCAGAGGTGGCTATACCTTGACACAGGCTCCATGATGGATCAAACCAATGCTTCCTCTCCTGAGAAATAAGTGAGAGTCCCTGCTCACCAGGGGGAAGCTCCGTGTTTTAGCTGTAGGTGCTGAGTCTGCATGAAGAAGGGTAGACTGCAGCATGACTTCTTAGGCCACCTGAGATCCCTCCAGGCTCACCTGTTCCCCAGGGCTTTGGCTACATTGCCCTGTCTATGCATATGCACCGAACAGCTTCACACAGCCACACGTGACAGCACAGCACAGGTCCGTGCCAATGCCGCATACTTTTTCTGCTTGTTTTTGCTTCAGTGTTACCAGTGAGGCACAGAAAACACCAAGAGAACTTGACAGAAGGCTCATGCAATTGCAACTTGGAAATTAAGGGAAATACTGTCCTGTGGAAATACGTAACCCCTGGGGAAAGGCAGTTGTGTGGATAGAGTTTTCGCCTTCTCCCACTCCCAGCCCTCAGACAGCAGATGCTGAGGATGCCAGTTCCTTGAGGTGAAATCCACATCTCCTTCTGACCGCCACTACTCCAGCTCAGTGGTGGGCTCCGTCCTTGAGCCCAAATAATCATACAATAACATTCAAACATAATGGTACTTTGAAGACTGGTGCTGTGTTTCCCGTATGCCCAAACCCCTTTAGCAAGGCAGTTTCAAGTAAAGAAAACTTAGTGCTCAAGTCCTTCCTACTCGCAGACTCTTAAGACTCTCTCCCACAAAAACAAAATCTCTCTGTCCTTTACCCCACCGTTAGCAAAGTAGTATTCTGATTCTTCCCTGTGGCTTTGCTTGATCTTACAACAGACTTTCTCACAGTACACTTGGTACAGTGGGTCCTCAGCAATTGCCAGAGGCGCCCCAGCTGCCAGACAGGTAAAGCCTGTTGCATGCAAAAGGAGCTTCCCAGCACTGGGGAGGAGTCCATCCCACCCGGCGGGGCGGGGCCACCTACCCTGTGCCACCGCAGGTCCCACACCGATGGGCCACTCCTTGTTTCATGTGCCATGAGGGCCGGGCGTTTATCTCCTGCTGGCGACCCAAGCACAGCTCTGCCTCTGTCCTCCTTTGGTCTGCAGCTCAGCTTCCTGCCCAAGCTGTAGAGGAGACCTCTGCCATTTTGTTTCCTTAGATAAAAAGAAAACATGGGAAAAGTACAATTAAGTAGAAGTAATGTACTGGGAAGAGGAGAGGCATGGTTGTAAGTTCATTATTGCTTCTTCTTTTTCTTTTTAACAAAGCACCAATGGCCTCAGAAGGACCTGCCACGGTTGTCAGTGCCAGGCAGTGCCCAGAGGCTGGTAAATGGCAGCTTGAAGACTTGTTTTCCATAAGCTTAATGAGGTCTGCCTCTCTAGCATTGATTGCCAAGCCAAGAAATTTTAAAAAGAACACACACACACACACACACACACACACACACACACACACACACGAATATGCACACATTCATGTATGAGAATGGCAGGAGCCAAATTAACTCCAAGGAAAAAAATCACAACCTGCACCACGAGTGCTTTTCCTCACTGAACCCCAGATGAGCGTCCGGATGAGCATCAACCATGAGACCAGGTGCCCATGGTCAGGCTGTGGGCATCACTTGTCTGTGGCTTGGCAGAGACTTTGCAGAGGGCTTCTGAGCCGTGCGAGGAACACACAGCTACATGGATATGTCTGGTCCTACTTCTGATGGCCTTCACTGCAGACCTGCCCTGGGCTGATGCTGAATGCTGCAGCCACGTGGAACATGGGCGAGGCTGTGCTGTGTGACGCTGGCACCAGCCTGGATGCCTGCAGTTAGCACTGATTGTTCCAGGTCAATTTTTGGGCATCATTTTGCCAACTTGCCTACGTGTTTGGTAGAAATTATCCTAAATGGAGGAAATTTCTGGTGCCAGTTCAAGTAAAATTGATGACCTTCTGTTCCTTTCTTATGTGATTCATTTTGGGTCTGTTTAAAATCTGTTGGATAAGGTTGTAAGAAAAGTCTGTAATGAAGAATTGTTGTAGGGTAATATGGTTTTCGTTTCACTTTGTTTGATTTGGGTTTTTGTTGTCTTTTTGAGACAGGGCTTCACTATGCAGTTCAGGCTGGCCTTGAACTCACTTTGTAGCCCAGGCTGGCCTCAAATTACAAGTGATCCTCCTGTTTCAGCCTCCCAAGTGTTAGGATTACAGGTGTGTACCATCATGCCTGGCCTGGTAATGTGTTTTGAGTATCAACTCCGACATTAAAAGAACACTCCATAGCAGGGGAGAATATTGGGATTAGAAGAGAACCCAAATCTCCACCTGGGTCAAGAATCCCTGCCACCCACTGGGTTACATGGATTACTGAGCCCCAAAGTTTCATGATTATACCTGGCTCTAACAACGGATTTTCTGTTCTGGACATTTCTCTTCACAAGACTGTTGAGCTCGCAAGGAAATACTATCATTCATTCTTTCTTTCAGCTACAAATCAGAGAAAAACAATAGACCTCATTTTCATCATCTTCAGTCTAACTCTGTCCTTCAAATTTCTTTCCTCCTCCTTGAGTTAAAGAATGAAATCTCCAACCAGACCCAAGCCTTTTCCTGTGAGTCAGCACCATTCATAGATGGAAGCAAGTGCTGCCTGGGAGCCAGCATCATGCATGGGCTCCTGCCTGAGTGAAGACAGCCAGATCCCAGCCCCTTGTAGCATGTGAGCTGGCAAATAAGAAGTATCAATCCCCCCCAGTCACTCCCGCTCTCCCTGTAAGCAGCCAGGTGATCTGGAGGAAAGCAGGCTGTGATGATAGCTATCAAGATGAAACACAACTGGATGCCTGTGGTACTCTGGTGTCTCACTGACCTTGCGGGTCGAGGGCCAGTGGTCTGATCATCTGTTCAGAGGATAGTGGTAGGCAGTGTAGCATCTACGGGGAATCTCCTTTGAAGGCGGTGAGCATTGCAGATTCCCTATTGTCTTGTTTTGAAGTCCTACATTATGTTCACTATTTTGTTGGGTTGGGTTTTATTCTCTTTTGTTTTGTTTCACTGTGCTAAACCCGATGGCATGAACAGCTATTCAAAGATAGCAAGATATATTTCAGTAACTTTTGGATTTACTATAGGCTTGCTTTGAAGTCCTTTATTGCATTCTTTGTTTTGTTTTTTATTGTTTCTATTCTACTCTGTTCTGTTCAATTTTTACTCCGTCCGAAGTATCTGCAGCTACTTTGAAGACTACAAAAGGCATCACAGTAACTATTGTTGATTTCATAATGTTTTGAAGTCCTGCATCTCCTACACTGGTTTGTTTTGATTGGTTTTATCCTGTTTTATTTTCCTTGGCTTTATCCTCTTTAAAATAAAAATTTAAAAAGAGGAATGAAACCTCACACACGTATCTGGATGAAAAGAGACACAGAGGATGTGGGGAAGAGGAGGTAGGCTTGGGCTGGGCATTTTCAGGGCAGCCCAGAGAGATGGTGTAAGGCAAAGAGCCATGCAGGAGGGACTCTGTGCCAGGGAGGCACATGGTGGGAGGAGCAGAGGCCAGGGCAGCAGGACATTTGTCAGCGAGTGGGGTGATCTGCCCTTCTGCAGAGCTGCTTGGAAGCACTGATCCCTTCTAATCCTGCCATTGTTAGTCACAGCCTGTGCTAGAGGACAGAGCTGAGATCATTTCTCTTCTTCCTGCACAGCTTCCTGGGAGTGTTTCTTTAGCTCAATTGTTCATCTCTTTCTGAACTGAGTGGCTCCTGTACCTGGTGGCTCTGTGATCCTTTCACTCCTTAAGGCCCAACCCGGAAGTCTGATGGAAAGGATTTGCAAATAGCTCTATTGTGTTTCCTGTTGAAGGAGGAAACAGCCAACTGGACATGGTCCAGCTCTGTATTGGCCTGAGAGTTGGGAAGCAGCGAGATTGTTCACCTTTTTTAGGGCAGAGTGTATGCAGCCAGGTTGGGCAGGTTCATACATATCACGCATCAAGAAGAACAGTGAGTTCTCAGAAGGAAGATGTTATTAAGAAAGCAAAGCCAAGAGCAGCACAACTTGGAAGAGAGGGAAAAAATATCTGAACAACTGTCCAAAGCTTCCAATCCCGAGCACTCTGGGTTTTGAGCTGAGCCAGCTTCAGAAAACAGATAAGCTACAGTGCATCCTGATTCTGGGTCAACTTTACCAAGAGCTGGAAAAAATAAAAATCTTTGCAAATCAGTCATGTTACTTCCGTCCACGCTCCGATGACTTAGAGAACAGTGGTTTCTAGGACAGAAAGCTTGTCATTTATTCTGAGATGCAACAGCCTTCCCTGGGGTTTCCACCACTTCCACTCATCCAGGGTCCGAGTCAGAGTGAAGCCAGGTGCGGGATGGTGGAGCAGAGCTTCCAAGAGGAAGCAAGTCTCAGTGTGCACCATCCCAGGGCGTGAAAGGTGGGAGCACATCAGGCAGGAAGGCTGCTCCATGCCCCAAGCTGCTTCCCTGCAGACCACCTGCAGACACACACACACACACGCACACACACGCACACACACACACACACACACACACACACACACACGCACACACACACACAGACTCCTGAGCTCTCGCCCTGTCTCTTCTTCACTGGGTCTTTTCCAGTGAGGCTTCCTCCTTTGCTCCCTTTATTCTTTTCTTGTCCATAGAGTTGGAGCCACAGTGTTTAAAAAGCACTCTGTGACAACAGCTTGTGGCAGGTCCTCTTAATGGGGCTGAATTACTGAGAGAAGCAGAGACATCAAAATCAGGGACACACAGTGTGGTGGTCAAGCAATGAGCATGTTGCTGCAAACTATTTTACAGGTTTGCCAAAAAACAAAATTGAGTTCCTCCAGGTTTGCAGGCTGTATCTTTCAATGGGCAATCCATGGAGGCATGAGATTTAACTTTTTAAAAGAGGGTTAGATGTGCTCTCAAAATCAATGTCCTGACATAAACCAAATTTGGTTCTGAGTCTAAAATAGTTCAGTCAAGTGGTATTCGACTTTGAAGACCAGCTGTCATCTTGGAAATACTGACCAGGGGTTTATATGTAAGATCTGGTGAAGTGTCTTTGGAGAGATAGGGGAATGCAGGGCACCCCAAGTCCTTCAGGTTAGGTTGGAGCCAGCAGCTATCACTAATAAGCCCTGACCTGAAGCACAGCTCCTGGATTACCCTTCTCTGTGATTGGTTTTAAGAACTTCAAGGCTGGCTATCAGGGCTCCAGAGCTAAATCAAAGAACCCCACACATGCCTGCATGAGTCACTTCTACCCTAGGCAGTGTCGGATCCTGAGGAATGGGGACAAAGTGAAACAATGTCCCACAGATCACGTCTGACTTTCTGCCGTAGTGTGGTGACTTGGTATCCCCTGGGGAGGCACTGAGCGGAACTCTAGGCTGTGACACCCTCTGGGAGCCTGGTTGGAGGCTGCTCTTCCACCTCTGCGCCTCCTCAAGCAGACCCTGGTGCAAGGGTGAGCTGAGGTTGAGAAGCTGCTGGCCTCTCCCGCTTGTGGGATAAGATTGCAGATGCCAGAAGCTGACAGCGCTGAATGTCCTGCTCAAGGAAATGCCCACGGATTCTCTGGGCCACAGTCACCTAAACAGGACTGTCGCTGGCTGTGCTAGGCAGCCTTGTCCTCTTGAGAAGGCTCTCAGCTGGGGACAGTTTCGCTAGAGCTGGTAACGTCTGCAAAAGCTTTTGGTCGTCACTGTGCGGCGGGTTGCCGCAGGCAGCTAGCAGGTAGAGCCTAGCGAAGCTGCTGAACATTTTACACCATGCAGGACAGCCCCTCGAGAAAGAATTATCCTGCACACGGTGTCATGATACCCCAGCTCTCAAGCCTGCCCCCCACCGCACCAGGGAGGAAGCTAGCTCTTAGGGTTTGCTGGGGCTCAGTGCTTCCCGGAGGGAGGAACTACATTCATGATAGTGTGGGGACATCCGTCCTTTGGATTGGGCTTGTTATTTGCCACAGCAACCCTAATGAACAATTATAGAGTCAACAGAAAAAGACGTAGGAGGGAATGGGTTTGTCTGTGTTGTTGGCTAACACATCCCAGATTCCTGGAACAGTACGTAGTGCATGGTTCACACTCAACAGATATTTACCAAGGGAATGGCAGACAAAATATCCCTCAGGGCTCTTCCCCCATCGGGGAGACAACAACAAACATAACCCACACTTGTTGATTGTTTCTCAAATGCCAAAAACTACATTGTCTAAATTAACTGAATTAATCCTCACATTCACTTTAGGTAGTGGGCAGTAAATAAAATTTATCACCCTTATTTTGCAGGTGAAGAAACTGAGGAAAAGGGAAGCCCAAGATCACATAGTCAGCACCAGAACCAGAACGCCTGGGCTCTTGGCTTCTCACCCGACAGCCCCATTTTCCCACGTAAGACATTGTATGCATGGGTATGTCACTGCCTTAGCCCCAGTGAGGGTAGCCCAAAAGACACAAAACATGAAAGCAGCTGCAGGGTTAGACTTGGACCCCAAAATTATGCTAAAGAAGCCAGACAAGGAAAGAGCGACCCACAGGTATTCGGGAAGAACTAGAGGAGACTTTGAGCCTGGGTAGCGGTGACTGGTGGGCTTGGAGAAGTTAGTAGCTGTCTATCTGGTTCTCCAGCCAGCTTCTTGACTTTCATCCTTTGCCACTGGCCAGTGGTGTCCTGTCCAGTGCTCACCTG